AGATGAAGATGACATTACAAATAGAATAGAATGCACCCATAAATAATCCAGTTGAAACAATTGGTTTTCCACAGAAGAAGAAAATTAGATCCTTTATCATATCCTGGGAGCTCTGGTAGCATGGTGCCTAAGGCACTTGACTGCTAACCAGAAGGCTGACAGTTCAAACCCACCAGCCACTCCTCGAAGGAAGGTTGGGCAATCTACTTCTGTAGTGATACTGCCTGGGAATCCCAAGGAGGGGTCGCTATGAGTCAGATCCAACTCGACAGCACATAACAGCAACATCTTATCCTATTTACAAAACAAGCAAACAAAAAAGAACTTCATTTGGATTAAAGCCCTATGTTTGGAAAGAAAACCATTATAACTATTAAAAGAAAGTAAAGGATAACATCTTTTTGATAATCTAGCTAAGACCCAAAAAGCACAAACTCTAAGAGAAAAGATTGAAAATTTTTATTATCACACATTCTATGTATGTGTATGTATGGGAATATAGAGAATTTTAAATGTCAAGAGACACTAGGAAACATTTAAAAGTAAGAGGCAGAACTGGAGGAGGTATTTACAGATATTTAACACAAAATTGGACTGGGCAGTGTTTCATTCTGTTGTACACGGGGTCGCTATGAGTTGGAGACAACTTGGCGGCACCTGACATCAACAACAACAACACAGAATTTAAAAGGTTAGCTTTTATAATGTATAAAGAATTCTTATAGATCAGTAACCTAATAGATAAATGGGTAAAGTAAATGAGCAATTTGTATAGAGTGAAGCCTAATTGCTAATAAACATGTGAGAAGATACTCAATTTCAGGAGTGAGCAGGGGAATGCAAATTAATAAAAATTCCTACTATCCAAGTGGCAAAAATGTGAATGTATGAAAAGTCTGGGACTATTAATGCAGAGAAATGGAAAACTCATATATGTTGGGGTACTTTCTGTGTAACTATCATGGAGTGGGATTAGGCAATAGCTAGAAAAATTACAAAAATGTCCATACACAATTTAATTCACTAATTCTACTTCCTATACTCTGAGGAAATTGTTTTCCATATACTGAAAGACATTCTTTGCAGCATAATTTTTGACAGCAGAAATTGGAAACATTGAGAATTCATCAGAAAGGGAATAAATAGAAAAATTATTGTAATTCATAAGTTTGAATATTATTCAGCAATTAAAGGAATGACCAGGATTTCTATATATCTCAAAATAGTAATGTTTATATATATGTTGTTGTTGTTGTTGTTATGTGCCGTCGAGTCGGCCCCGACTCATAGCGACCCCTCCTTGGGTTTCCGAGGCAGTATCACTACGGAAGTAGGAT